CATCTGTGAAACTGTTGCCAATGTCTGAGTTTCCGAACCATAAATCATGAGGAAGTCTCAGGCGAAACACCTGGCACGCCCTAAAAACTGGCCTCGGAATGCGACAGGGAGAAAGTACTTATAAGGAACAATGAATGGAGGAGAAGGAGGAGGAGGATCAAGGAGATGAGCTGGCCGCCGAGGGCCCCGATGCCCGACGTCGTGGTGTCAAGGCGGGCCCGACGGTATCTCGACCACCTCGCCAAAGGGAGTGCTGTGCTGCCTCTCGTCCTGGGGCGTGCTGGGCAGCTCCTGGCCCTGGTCGGGGCCCCCATGCGCAGCAAAACAACAACGCCCCCAGGATGCCTTTTTCGTCGCGCTTGTCTTGCGCGCGAGGGGCTCTGGCCACGGAAGCCAAGCAGGGAAGCGCTGCCAGCCGAGGGGGCGCCTTGAAGTCCAGCCTGGCTGGCACCTCTGCCTGCCACCGCCTCGTCCTTCAGCGGACGAGGAGGCGGTTGCACATGAAGAGAGCGCAGACGAGGAAGAGAAGGAGGACTCCTCCGCCTCCTCCTCCTCCTCCTCCTCCTCGTTCTCCCCCGCCTCCTCCTTCTCCTCCTCCTCCTCCTCGTCCTCCCCCTCCTCCTCCTTCTCCTACTCCTCCTCCTTCTCCTCCTCCTCCTGATTCATCCCTTGTCCAACAACTCCTCCCGCCGCACTCCAAGACGTGTCGGCAGGGCGGACCTGGCGTTTGCCTGAAACGTTCCCACGATTGATAATGCTGGAGCTTGGAAGCTGAAATGCGAATCTCGCCTCAGCGCCGCGCGAATTCGTCTGAACAGTTTTCAACGCCTTCAAGGATGGAGGACGGACGGTGTTCTGCATGTGGTCTTGCATTAGCGCCGAGCACATTATTTATGAACGTCTGCGACAGTTTCAAGCGTCCGCGCATCGAAATCCCAGGGACTGTGCTCTGGCAAGGTTTAAGACTGTCAGGGCGCAATAGACATGTTGGGTCGCAGCGGACTTCTTGTACGATTTAGGATCGCCAAGACGAAGCAATCACATTGATTCACGACGCTGGAATCCCAGGAACGGCGTCTTGGTACGACCGAGGATTCTCAGGCGGTTGTCTTGCAATGGGGCATTCCCCGCGACCAGAAGCAAATATTATAGTGACCTATGAAGAGGGACATTGGCGGGATGGCTTCTTGTAACATCGTTGATGCGTGTTGGGTTTTCGCTGGTCCTCCTCCTCCTCCTCCTCCTCCTCCTCCTCCCTTTCCTGATCAATATCATCTTCCTCGTTCTCCTCGTTTATCATATTTCTCCTCCGCCTCCTCCTCGTCCCTCGTCCTTCCTCCTCCTCCTTCGCCTCCTCCTCCTCCTCCTCTTCCTCCTCCTCCTCTCTCTCCCCCTTCTTCCTCCGCTCTCCCCCTCATCCGCCGCCGCCGCCTCCTCCTCCTCCTCTCCACATGCCTCGCGGGGGGGCTCCTTGAAGTACAGCCTGACCAGGCTTACCATGTCCACGGCGCATCGCCTGATGAGCTTCATCGGCCTCTCCAGGGAGCGGGAAGGGGCAGAGGCTGGCGACGACTGAGCATTTTCTTAGGGTGGAGGGCTCAGTGTGAAATCCATATGGGCTTTTGCACCTCGAGAATCATTCCGTCTTGTGATTCACCTTTTGCAACCTCAAGCCTAGAACATCAATCGAAACGACATTTCAGATTTCACCCTTTGCCCTCCACCCAAAGAAAATGCTCGGGACGAGAAGCAGGGATGATAATGATGCCAAGGGAGGGCGGGGGGGGGGGAAGGCAGAAAAATGACGAGGAGGAGGCAAGAGGGAGGACGAACACCGAACGACCACCGATGCGGCCAACCGTCCGGGCCTAGCTCAAGCTCAGACCAGGTGGGTGATGGCGTGCCCAGGCACATGCAATGCGAGCCAAACAAAAGGTTGGAGGAGAGCAGGAGAAGGAAGAGGGGGTCCTGGGTGTCGGGGTAGGCGCGTCTATCGTCACGACTTCTCAATATTAGTCTTGGATGCTTGCTCGCGTGGGGTCGGTGTACTGGTGCTCGAGAGTCGTCCAGGTGGCGCGTCTTGGGAAGAGGCGGCTTTCGGTTTCTGCCAATTTCGGCCCGGGCCCGTTTCGGTTTCATCGGTCTCTTTCGCTTCGTCCCGTCTCGGAAAAGCCCCACACGGCTACAGCCCGTTTCGCCCCGGCCCATTTCGGCTCTGGTCCGAATCGTCTAGGCCCGTTTCGTCCCGGCCCGTTTCGTCCTGGCCCGTTTCGGCTGGCCCGTTTCGCCTCTGGCGTGTTTCGGCTCTGGACCATTTCGGTCACGGCCCGTTTCGGCTTCGTCGACCCCATTCGGCTTCGTCACATTTCGACCCCGCCTGTCTCGGCTTCGGCCCGTTTCGTCCTTGCTCGTTTCGGCCCCAGCCTGAATCGTCCCAGCCCGTTTCGGCCCTGGCCCGTTTCGGCCCTGGCCCGTTTCGGCTTCGGCCCGTTCCGGCTCCATCAATTTTCGGCTCCCCTTGGAGCCGATTGGTTTCGGCTTCGGCCCGTTGCGGCTACGGCCCGTTTCGGCTCTGGTCTGTTTCGGCTCCAGTCCGTGTTGTGTCGGTCCGTCTCGGCACCGGCCAGTTTCAGCTTCGGCCCGTTTCGACTGCGGCCCGTTTCGGCTTCGGCCCGTTTCGGCTTCGGGCCGTGTTGTGCCGATTCATTTCGGCTCGGGGCAGTTTCGGTTTCGGCCGGTTTCGGCACCAGCCCGCTTAGGCTGCGGCCCGTTTCGGCTCCGGCCCGTTTTGACTTTGGCCCGACTCGGCTTCGTTCTGGGATGGATTGGGTCAGTTTGGTTGTCGGCCGATATTTTCAAGGGGTTTGTTGTGGCGCCTTCGTACTCGGCCCAACAAAAGCATGAGACACGTGTTTAGTGGTACTCTCCCGTCCTTGCCCCTGCCCTCGGGCGCCGGGGGCACCCAACCTGGAAAATACAGGGAGCTTGGCCGGTGGGTTGGTCAAGTGGCGGCTGGCCGGGGTCAAATTCCACCCGTGCCCCTCTTCACCCCAGAGTCTCCTTCTCTTCCGCGCCTCATCCACCCTCCAAACTTTCTCTTACTTGTCCCTCCCCCCGCTTCTGCCCGTCTCCGTTGAGGCCAACGGATGCGGCGGAAGAGGGCGAGGAGGATTGGACAGAAGGAGAGGAGGAGGAGGAGGAGGAGGAAGAGGAGGAGGAGGAGGAGGAGGAGGAGGAGGAGAAGGAGGAGGAGGAGGAGGAGGAGGAGGAGGAGGAACAAGAGCAAGAGGAGGAGGAGGAGGAGAAGACAGAAGGAGGAGGAGGAGGAGGAGAAGGAGGAGGAGGAGGAGTAAGAGGAAGAGGAGAAGGAGTAGGAGGGGGAGATGGAGGAGGACGAGGAGAAAACCACATCCAGTGGGGCGAGTTCAGTGGCCGTTGAAGGAAATGTCGCCGTCCAGGTTGGGGCACCGGGGGGAGCCCGCGGCCCACGTCTCCACGACGGCGGGCGACGCCGTTGGGCTCGCCTCGTCTTAAGTCCCACCAGCCCTCTGGGCGTCGGTGGTTTAGGGCGTTTCCTCTTCCACCCTTCCCTCTTCCCCTTAAGGAAGAGGGAGGGGTGGATCACTGTTCCCTATTAATAAACACCCCCTCCCCCGGGCGACCGGGGGCCAACCCAGGTCCCTGACGACACCCCCCCACAATTCCTTGTAAAAAAACATAACAAAACACACTCTGCCTCCAAATTCGGAACATGCGCAGCAACCCGATGCGCCCCCCCCCGCCATCCCTGTCAAAAAACAATACAGAGTACACTTGGCGGAAGCGGCGGCGGCTGCGGCTGCGGCGGCGGCTGCGGCGACGGCGGCGGCGGCGGCTGCGGCGGTGGCGGCGGCGGCGGCGGCGGCGGTGGCGGCGGTGGCGGCGGCAGTGGCGGTAGCGGCACCGGCTGCGGCGGCGGCGGCGGCGGCGGCAGCAGCTGCGGCGGCGGCGGCGGCTGCGGAGGCGGCGGTGGCGGCGGCGGATTGGCCCCATCCAAAGACGACTGCTGAATATGCTGAGGCTCGGGCCAGACTCGGGTGCTACGTATGTGTTGGGAGGGCGGGTGGGAGTGAGCGAGACGGTTTGCGGGCGGGGGGGGGGGTCTTGACCCCTCCCCCTACCCCCTCCCCGTGGACCTGGACGGGAGGGGTGGTGAGGTGTCAGAGCGTCCAAAACGGCCTCGGCGAGGAAGCCAAAATCATTGATTTCATTACGGTTTGGGCCCCATGTTGGCCTCCTGGTTGGGGGACCCGACTTAAGGACCCCCCCTTCGTTGACCGATCCCCTCCAAGATGGCCCGAAGAAGCGCCCAGGAGGCCCCAAAAGGTCCCAAGATGGCCCCAAGATAGCCCCAAAAGGCCCCCAAGAGGCCCCCTGGAGGCCCCCCAAAAGACCCTAAGCGGCCCCAAGAGCCCCCCCCGAGGCACCCAAGACCCCGAAGAGCCCCCCAGGATCGCCAAGAGACCCCCAAGACGTCCCAAGAGGCCACCAAGAATCGCCCAAGAGATACCCCAAGAGGCTCCGAGAGGCATCCAAGAGACCTCTGGCCCTTGTGCTTGCCCTCCTCCTCCTGTTCCTCCTTCCTGCTCTTGCTCCTTCTCTTTCTCCTCCTCCTCCTCCTCCTTCTCCGCCTCCTCCTCCTCGTCCTATTCATCCTCCTTCTTCCCACTCCCTCATCCATCCATCCATCCATCCATCCACCTCCTCCTTCTCCTCCTCACTCCTTTGCACGGTTCGGCCGTCCTCCTCTTTGCTGCCGCGCTTCCCGGATCACCTCAACTCGCCTGGACATCGTTTCTGGATGGGCCGGTGGGGGTACTTTTTAGTCAGCAGCCGCAAGCGAAAGCGCAAACGGCGAGTCGAGGCTGGTGGGGATACTTTTTTGGTCGGCGGCCGCGCGACAATGGTCTGGCGGCAACAGGCGTGTCCGGGACGGCGGAACATGCAAATTCCACGCGAGGCGTGCAATGCACGTGCACTGAGCAAAATGCTCAGAATTCACTGGGACGCACCTAGCGCGCAGAGGTGCAAGCTGCGGAGTAAGTCGCCCTTGCGGCGCCAAGCTCCGAGCAACTGCACAGACAGACAACTATGTACCAGCCTGGGACGCCAGCTGCACGTAGTGGAAGCGAAGGCCGACGACGCCGAAGGCTGACCCACTCGGCGCGCGGCCAACGGAACCACCACCGACTGCAGACGCTGGCCGAGAAACCAAAACACCGTGTCGCGCGGGTGTGGGAGGGCTACTGCAGCCCACTGAGTGCGACAGGGCGTACTGGTGGGGATACGCGAAGCGTCTAGAGTTTCCATTGCATGTAACCTTCCTGCCCGACGTCGTCTGCTGATGGCCTCGGATTCGATCGCATCACACTGCTTGCATGTCGCAGGGAACCGCCTGGTGGCCATGGCTTGCTTCGTAGTGGAGACTGGCACGCTCTGTCCTGAGAAGCAGCACCGGCAGGCAGAGGACTGGGGAGCCCAGGCTGCGTCGTAGCACCTAGTGGCGTGGGCGACGTCCTGAACCCACTCGTGGATGAAGGACGGCACTGACGTGCTCCGCCACCCTGCCGAGTAAGCCCTGGTAGGGCCGTCTCACAGAGTAGGGCATTCCCGTCGCACAGGCACCCGTGGCCCCCCAGGACGTATATAGACCACCGCTCGGGCCTCGGTCTGAAGTACACCCAGGAAGCAACCAAAGAGCTGGAGTGGGAGAGGGTGGGCTGCTCGTAAGCTGGGCGCCGCCATTGAGAGTACCTGGCGGGCCCAATCTAGGTCCCGCCGTTGTACCCGCGCCTTCCGCAGACGAATAATGGCCAAGATAACACGGGTGACGCTGATGATGCTCCACAGATGCACTCCGCGAAGTGGGCGAAGCTGGGGCCGATGTGGACCTGCAAAGCATTCGAGCAGACAGGGTCGTAGACTGACTAGCTGAGGGATTGCATGCCGATGGCACCGCTGCGACCACACCCACTGATGGAGTCGGCCTGCGTCTTCTCCCTGAAACATGTGTGCGAATCGGAATACGTACAACAGAGGAAAGCCCAATCAATGGATGGTTTGAAATGGGATCGATACAAAGATGGATAAGGAGATCGACCGGGAGCCCCGGAACCCAGGAACCAAGAACTCACCGAAATCGGCCCTGAACCAATGACCAGGAACCTGGGAATCCGGAGCCGGGAACCCCGGGAACCCAGCCGGCCACCAAAATCGGCGGGACACTTTGGCCAAATCTTTCAATGTACGCTAGTACCCTGTCAGTGCAAGCACTGATTGGGAATGTATCCTGAATGATGGTATTGCCAAGATTGTGGTCCTTGATGTGTCGGATGGGGAGCGGCCAGTGGACCACGAGGCGCTCCGTAGCCTTTTCGGACGCTACGAGACAGACGACGATCGACCTTCCGAGGACGTCGACCGAATCCGACTGCTCGGTGTCTCCTCGCCGTCCGCCATCTCCACATCCCTGAGCTCCTCCTGGGGTGTCGTCTGAACTCGGAAGGCTAGCGCCTCGTAGGCCAGGAGCATCTGCTCGTGTTCCGCTGCCTCGATCGACTGGCGCAGTTGGTGCATGACTCTGTGGCACAAGTCGCAGTAGAGGGTTGACGCCCGATGCGAGCTAGCTATTTCACACATGGTCCGAGAAACTGGCGGGGTAGTCTGATGCTTCCGTCCTGCAGGGGTTAGTCCCTGAGATCTGATATTCCAGCTGTTCGGCATGCAAAGAGAGGCGTGGTGTCACGGCTGCTGGTTTACAAAGAAGCACGATGAATGAGATGGTCAGAAATAAAGAACTCGCCCCGTCACTCGCGACGGCGGTCGAACTCGAAGTCCTCGTCGCTGGAGCCGAGTCGACCAATAATGTGAGAGAACCACAATCGGCGTTCTGTTTCCGGTGTCAGGCACTGGCGACTACCGATCTTGCTGTAAGCGTCGTGTGGGCAACCTCGGTCCCTGGACAAACGCTCGCACACTGAAAATAGCAGCAGCAAAGACACAAGATAGGAGAGGGATCGAGCAGTTGGGTACAACATGCAAGAATGGATGAGGGCGGGCGAGAGACAGACAGGGAAGGAATGGGAGAGTGAGATGGCGAGAGAGAAGGAAAACAGAGAAGGTAGATGATGTATCGCTACATTACGTATACATGAGTGAATGTGCACCTATAGAGGCATGCCTGGTGAAAGAGGCGGTGCACGAGAGAGGGTGAGGGTAGCAGAGGGGGAGGTGGGGAGGCGATCTATATATCTACATATATATTACACCTGCATCTATGTATATACACACATAACCTATTTATATATGTAAAGAGGGTGATCAACAGGGAACGAGAGAGCGAGAGAGAGAGAGAGAGAAGAAAAAAAACGAGCAACAAAAAAAGGATAGGGAGAGGGATAGAGAGAGAGAGTTATATATACACACACACATCTGTACGATCGATCTGTATTTGCATGTGTGTAGAGGCGCGGGGAGAACTAGAGAGAGAGAGAGAAAGAGAGAGAGAGAGACACAGAGATAGAGAAAGAGAAAAGCATACAGGTAGGCACTGTGAGAGAGAGGGGGAGAAAGAGAGAGAGAAACAGACAGAGGGAGACAGACAGAGGGAGACAGAGAGAGAGAGAGAGACAGGCACACAGACAGACAGAGAGACATAGAGAACGAGAGGGAGAGAGAGAAAGAGAGAGAGAGAGAGATACAGAGGCAGAGAGAGAGAGAGAGAGGCAAGGGTTTGCCCCTCCCCCCACCCCCCGCGCGGCGGCCACTGGGAGACTTCCGGCGCGGACCCGCCGGGTTCCAGCCCGCTGCCCGCGCCCACGATGCCTGGAGCCGCAAGGGGGGGGGGGCCGAGGGACGAAGCGAACAATGAGGGACCGGTGCGCCGAGGAGGAGAATGATCGCCGAATTGATCGAAACTCTGCGATCGCCAGGATCCGCCAATCGGCTGGCGAGTTGTGATTTTCTCACGGGCGCGTTCCGCTGCCATTCCCGATGCGTTGCCGCACATGGAGAAACATCCCGCACGTTATCTACCGGTGCGGTCAACGAGTCAGTGGTTGAAGTAGCACATTTAACCGCGTGGACCTTACATTTCGCGGGAGAAGAGAAAGAGGGGGAGGAGAATGATCGCGGAGTGCGCTATTGTAGAAGCTTCAGGGGTACCCAGCATTCTCTCCAAGGATAAGGCTATATACGTAGCACCCCGCAGCTGCGGACAAGAGGGGGGCGGTGGGGATGTCGGCAGTCTGCGAGACTCTGGGGAAGCCCGCCGAAGGCGCCAAAGTTCCACAAATTATAAAACGAGCCCGCCGCAGGCGCCGATTTGTCGTTGAACCGATGTGGGTAGGTCGCGGGTGGCTCGCGGGGGGTGGCAAATGGGTCGTGGCTGGATCGCGGGTGTCGCGAGTGGGTCGCGAGTGGGTCACGTCTGGGTCGCGGGTGGGGACGCGGGTGGGTCGCGGGTGGGTCGCGGGGTGGGTCGCGGATGGGTCGCAAGTGGGTCGCGGGTGGGACGACGACAACAAACAAACAAACAAACAAACAAATAAACACACACACACGAATAAACAAACAACCAAACAAACACACAAACAACAACAACAACAACAACAACAACAACAACAACAACAACAATCATTTTACCCGAACGCTCAGTGTTCTCACCAGTGCCAGGGTTTTCATGCGACGCGAGACAATACCCCCACTTCGTGGGGGGGCAGTTCAAGCTCTACCAAATATCCAAACGACTCTTCGCGACCACCCAAACCCAGCTTCCCGCCCTATGACGTTGGGACACTTCACTTCGTGGCGTGCGGACGACCGTGGCTACTACACTGGCGTGGGGTACACACCCACAGAACTTGGTCACTTATTCGGGGCGCGCGTGTGCCCAGCATCCTGCAATTGTGACATACAATACATGACACAGACAGACAGAGAGAGAGACAGAGAGCAGACAGAGAGAGAGACAGAGAGAGCGGAGTTGGTCACATTTTTGGGGCAAGTTCCTGAGATCGTCGTGTTTTTTGTTGGTCTTGCGCGCGCGAATGTCCACTTTACTTTTTTTTTGCAAGGGAGTATTGAAATTTGATTATGTTAGAACAAGAAAAAGTAGCTCGCGCGAGCTCATGTAACATAAATATTGAAAAACCATTGGTTTTGTGGGAGTCGGACAGCGCGCGCGGGATGAAATTTGGACATTTTTTTTGAAAAACCATTGGGTTTTTGATGTTTTTATGTTGAAATCGTTACGAAACCTAAGGTTCTGGAAGGATTTCGTCTTGCGCGCGCGAATGTCCACTTTACCTTATTTTTTGCAAGGGATTATTGAAATTTGATTATGTTAGAACAAGAAAAAGTAGCTCGCGCGAGCTCATGTAACATAAATGTTGAAAAACCATTGGTTTTGTGGGATTCGGACAGCGCGCGCGGAAGGACATTTTGACAATTTTTTCTTAAAAAACCATTGGGTTTTTGATGTTTTTATGTTAAAATCGCTACGAAACCTAAGGTTTTGGAAGGATTTCGTCTTGCGCGCACGAATGTCCACTTTACCTTATTTTTTGCAAGGGATTCTTGCAATTTGATCAAGTAAGAACAAGAATTTTCATTTTATAGTGTTTTTTGCAAGGGAAAACGGAGTACAACAAAACAACCGGATCCGGTAATAATTCACTTTTCTGAAGCTTTCGCTAAAAAATGATGAAAATGTAGCTGCGGCCTAGGTTTTGGAGGGGGGTCGCGCCAGGGGTCCCAACAATAATTATTCTTTAGAAGTAATAATGTTCAACAACAACAACAACAATCATTTTACCCGAACGCTCAGTGTTCTCCCCAGTGCCAGGGTTTTCTTGCGACACCAGCCAATACCCCCACTTCGTGGGGGGGCCGTTCAAGCTCTACCAAATATCCAAACGACTCTTCGAGACCACCCACACCCAGCTTCCCGCCCTATGACGTTGGGACACTTCACTTCGTGGCGTGCGGACGACCCTGGCTACTACACTGGCGTGGGGTACACACCCACAGAGGTTGATCACATCTGTTACATATGATGTGGTACACGGTACACGTGAGATGGTACGCAGTGCCAAGATAGTTGGTCACATTTTTGGGGCAAATTCGTGGGGATGCGATTGCAGAAGTACATGTGTTACACTGATGTTATACAGTCCCAAGGATGACGCATGCATTGCTCATAGACTCATGGCGCTATGATCCTAACTCTCAGTGCCCAACGCGCGCGTGCACAGCCAGACGGAGGGAGAGAAACACATGTATACAAGGTTCGTGACATACGCACGGTCCACCATGTTGTAAACGATCGCATGCACGGTAAGTTCTGAAATTATACGTATGTACAAGCAGACATGCGAGGGAGAAAGGGAGATGGCCATCGACAGTTCCAATACGGCTCCAAGGCGGAAGAGGGGGAGGAGGAGCAGGACAAGGAGGAAAGGAGAGAAGCGAGAAAGGAAGAACGCAGACGGCGCGGCTCTGGACACAAAGGGGTGCCATACTTTCTCCTGCTTTCGCAAACAGGTCCAGTCACACGTAGGGGTATACTCAACCGAATGGTCTTCGCATCCAGAAGCATACTAAAGGCGCGACGCATCGTCGTCTGCGATGGCGCGGAGCGGGCGCGTGGGTGCCCGGCTGCCTGGCTGATACACGTGCGGGCCTGGCTGATACCCGTGCGGTCCCAGATGCCCAATGAGATTGCCGATACGCCTGCTGGCGGGAAGGCCGGTGCTTGCATACGGCAGTGCTACCGCGAGCACGTTGTGGACCTGCGGTGGCAAGGCCTGGTAATCGAGCATGTTCGGAAGCTCGTCGCTCTGACCATACGACCGCCATACGGGCAACCACCACCACTGGTCTTGACGCGGATACGTGATCTCTGTGCCGACCTCAAGACGGCCCCGTCAGTGGTCCCCTCGGGCATGTCTTTGCGAATACGTTCTCCATACCAGGTCTCCAAGTGGCCAGCGTTCTGCACTTGGACAAGCGTGTCTTTGGATGAATACTGCAGTAGCCACGCCGTTGCGACCCTATCTGGCACATACAGTGGTGGATCCAACTGTCGGAGCGCCCGGCATAATTTGAAAGCGGTATTATACTCAATGCCCAGGTGGCGGATGGCAGAGCCGTGCTGCTCCTCCAGCTCCTTGGCGCTAGAAATACTGACCGTGCCAGTCACAACCCGATACTTGGCCCACCAAGTCTTGCACGCCTGGTGACTAGCATTGATACCCTTTGCCCGGAGCGCCTGATGCAAATAATACGCACTCTCGCAGTCGGCCAAGGGAGGCCGCGACAGCTCAGGGCCATACTGCTCGTGAAGGTCTTTCGCCGTCAAAGCCATGATCCAAGAACACAGGCGATACCTTGATCCGAGATGGCTACGGATATGTGCGTCAGCAGTCGGGGGCCTTCCTGGGGCCGCTTGGGGTCCTCTTGGGGAAGGGGGGAAGCCTCCTGGCGCGGTTTGGGGTCCACTTGAGAGCCTTTGGGGGGCTCCTTGGAACCATCTTGGGGCCTCTTGGGGGCTTATTGGACCCTCACGGCGGACTCTTGGGGCCTCTAGAACGCCTCCTGGGGCCATCTTGGGGGTCTCTTGGAGCCACCTTGGAGCCTCTCTGGAACCTCTTGGGGGCCTCTTGGAGTCCTCTTGAAGCCTCTTGGGACCATCTTGGGCGCCTCTTTGGGCCTCATGGACGCCTCTTGGGGCCATCTTGCGCGCCTGTTGGGGCCATCTTGGGTTTTAAAGATTCATCAAGAGACCGCGAATGGATTTCGAGATTTTTCGGATGAGAAAGTAGTGCGTTTTCATATGTTTTCTGAACATCGCATCTTGAAATTATTGAAAACCCATTGTGTTTGGCAGGATTTCGACATGCGCGCGCGGCGGCCGCGCGCATGTGCACTTCGTCTCATTTTTTGCAAGGGATGGTGGCCCTCGCAGGCGCGCAACCGTTGTTGGAGAAGTTCAAAGCACCTGAAGAAGTAGCACGCAAAGACCCTTTTGACAGAAATGTTTAAAAAGTGGTGTGTTTCCTATGAATCCGCAAGAGCGCGCGGAAGGACATTTTGACAATTTTTTCTTAAAAAACCATTGGGTTTTTGATGTTTTTATGTTAAAATCGTTACGAAACCTAAGGTTTTGGAAGGATTTCGTCTTGCGAGCGCGAATGTCCACTTTACCTTATTTTTTGCAAGGGATTCTTGAAATTTGATCAACTAAGAACAAGAATTTTCATTTTCTATTGTTTTTTGCAAGGGAAAAACGAGCGTCAACAAAAAACCGGATCCGGGGGTAATCCACTTTTCTGAAGCTTTCGCAGAAAAATGATGAAAATGTAGCTGCGGCCTAGGTTTTGGGCGGGGGGCGTGCACCAGGGGGTCCAACAATAATAATTCTTTAGAAGTAATAGTGTTCAACAACAGCAGCAGCAACAACAACACCAACACCAACACCAACAACAACAACAGCAACAGCAACAACAACAACAACGCAACACGCAGACTCCTCACCACGGGTCTCCACTTCAGCCACGCACCCAGGGACAACGAATGACCGTTCGCCCCCCCACTCTACACATCTATATATATGTGTATATATATATGTGTGTGTAGCATCCGAAAGACGAAGGGCGAGCGGCCGCAGATGCTTCGCAGCCCAATCGCTCGGCGCAGGGGTAGGGGGCTCGCAGGGGGAGCAGCAGGAGAGGGAGGTGGAGCCCCCGGAGGCCACCTGCCGTTGTCTCCACACGCCCTCCCCTGAGCGAAGAAGGCGCGAGCGACGCCCGCGCCACGGCAGCATCTTCGGGGCCGGCGGCACCGAAGTCTGGCCAGAGAGGCCGCTCTCTGTATAGTATCCGCCACCATGCCGCTGGGCCCGGAGTGGGCGCGTCCAAGCCTCAGCGCTCACTCCTGAAGAGGCTTTAAAGGGCCTGGGCCCCTAATTGCCAAATCTACCCGGGCTCAGCGCGTCGCGTCGTTGGCTTGTCGCGTCTTTTAGCGTGACTTGTTCGGCCCAGGAAGGCCCCAAGATGGGCCCAGAGGGCCCCAAGAGGCTCCCAAGATGGCCCAAGAGGGCCCCGAATCGCCGAGCGATCGGTCCAAGACGCCCAAGATGGCCCTACGACGGCCCAGAGGATCTCCAAGACGTCCAAAGAAGCTTCCAAGAAGCCTCACGAGAGGGTCCCAAGAGGCAAACATCAGTGTTCTGCCTTAGGTTTCTCGCCTTTTCGGCTTCTCTACGCTCCACGACGGGTCACGCGGCCCCCAAGATCGCAAGACGGCCCCAAGAGGGCCCCCACAGACGGCCCCAAGAGGGGACCCAGATGGGGAACCCGAACAGACATTTCGAGCCCTCGGCCCCGAGGGGCCCCGAGGAGGCCCCAAGGCTCCCAAGAGGCCCCCAAGAGGTCCCAAGAGGCCCCCAAGAGGCCCCTAAGAGGCTCCCAAAAGGCTCCCAAACTGGTCCAAACAGGCCCGCGATAACACTCCGAAGAGACCCGAAGCAGCATTCCTGGGAACTCTGACCCACAGCCCAGGCACGGTGGCGGGACGGGCCAAAGGCCATCTGGTAGCTTATGTGTTGTTCTGCCTCCGAGGGCTCGGTGCGCCACCCTCCGCGGGCAACTCCAGCCCGAGGTGGAGGAGGCGCTCCTCCTCCTCCTCCTCCTCCTCCTCCTCCTCCTCCTCCGCCTCCCCCTGCTCCTCCTCCTCCTCCTCCTCCTCATCATCATCCTCCTTATCCTCCTCCTCCTCCTCCTTCAACCGACACGGCCGCAATATCCGTAACTCCTCCTCCTCCTTATCCTCCTCCTCCTCCTGCTCCTGCTCCTTCTCCTCCTCCTCCTCCTTCTTCTCCTCCTCCTCCTCATCCTCCTCCCTCTCGCTCTCTCGCTCTCTCGTCCCCTCGATGTCTCTCTCTCTCTCTCTCCCTCTTTCTCTTTCTCTCGTTCTCTAATTCTCTCCTGTCTTGTTAATACATCTCTCTCTCTTGCCCTCTTGACGGAAAATGGGTTCGAAAAGCAGGCGCTACCCATTTCCTGGAGAGACCCTTGTTGTTGGGGAGGCGAGAGTCAGCGCAGAGGGAGGGCAGGGATGAGAGGGAGCTGCAAGAGAGGGAAAAGGACAAGCGGAGTTGAACGGGAACAGGGATGCAGCTGAATGAGGATGAAGAAGAAGAGATTGTAATTAGGCGGGAGGGAGGGGGTTCTGAGCAGGATGAGGAGGAGAGCAAAGAGAGGAAAGAGGACGAGGAGGTACATCACGATCAGAAATATGGGTCTTACCCCTGGCAGTTGGGTAACCTGTTTTTTTGGAGGAGAAGAGGCAGGGAATGATACAGCAACAAATTATGCCAATGGCAACAATGGGGAGGAGGAGAACCTATGTTTGCCTCGGCGCCGTTTTGGTGTCCCTTCGTACTCAACGTCACGCACCCAGTCGACAAATTCCACAGGTGGTCGCTGCACACATAGGCAAAGTACACCTTGGCAGCGGACCAGACGACGACAAGCGCGCACACCAAGAACAGCGATACGCCGACGCAGCCCAGCTTTGAGGCCACGTCGCAGAAGCGCAGCGCCGTGGCGAAGACTAGGACCGCCGAGATCAGCATGCCGGCGACGACCTCGTGCCTGGCCGCCTCCCCCGCGGCGTCGAAGCCGAGCTCGTAGAAGGACGCCTGCACCCAGAGCTGGAGGATCACGCCCGTGAGGACCTTGAGGCCCAGCTGCGTCAGCAGGTGGACATGCTCCTCAGGCAGGGCGGGCGAGACCTCTCGCCTCCCGCGCACCTCCCGCCCCGGGAGGAGGAGGAGGAGGAGGAGGAGGAGGAGGAGGAGGAGAAAGGAGGAGGAGGGGAGGAGGAGGAGGGAGAGAGGAGGAGGAGGAGGAGGGAGGAGGAGGAGGAAGAGGAGGGGGAGAGGGAGGAGGAGGAGGAGGAGGAGGAGGAGGAGGAGGAGGAGGGAGGAGGAGGAGGGGAGGAGGAGGGAGGGGCAGGTCGCACTTCGGGTCGGGGGCGAGCTCGGCGGGCCCTGCCACGGCCGGCGCGCGCCACGGAATCCACGGCGGGTCGACGGGTTGGAATCTGAGCGGCGTGCGCCGGCGGGGGCCCACACCAAGTGTGGGATGCACAGAGACATACTAATACTATGTGTCCGCCTTGGAGGCGCGCGTCCGACCCGAACATATAGTATACCCATCTTGTAGTATATCGTTTCCCGAGCGGTGTGGCCAGAAAGCGCCCGGCACGACGCATATACTACAAGATTTCTCGGTGCGCGCGTCGCCCCTGGGGGGGCGACGCACATATAGTATAAGTATGTTGGGGTGTTGCCGAAAGTGTGTTCCCAGCATTGCATGATTGTGCAATGGCGGGCCAGTTTGCGTGAAGCAATGCGTGTGGTGCATCAGGCGTGCTGCACTCTACAGGTTGAGCAACCGACGTGGTGCGATGTACGTGGCGCAACTCACTCTGACCATCTTGAAGCTGTCCTCTCTACTGCTCGTGCAAGCATCCCACCCTCCCACCCGCAACTTGGTCGCAAGAACTCTTAAGACCGTGACGGTAGGTACCAAATGGCACTTGGCAGCGACACCGACGCCGACGACGACAGCAACAACGACGACGACGACGCCGCCGACAACGACTTCGACGACACCGACTGCGTCTCCAACGACTTCAACGACGACGACACCGACGACGACGACACAGACGACGACGACAACGACGACGCCCACTACGACGACGAAGACGATGACAACGCCGACGACGACGACGACGACGACGACGACGACGACGGCGGCGACGACGACGACGAAGACGACGAAGACGACGACGACGCCGACGACGAAGACGCCGACGACGACGACGAAGAGGGAGGAGGGAGAACGACGACGGCGACAACGACGACACCGACGAGGGAGGAGGGAGGACGGCGACGACGCGAACGACGAAGAGAGAGGGAGGACTGCGACGCCGACGACGACGAAGACGACGAGGGAGGAGGGAAGACGACGACGACGACGACGAAATAGGAGGGACGACGACGAGACGCCGACGACGGACGACGACGACAAAGACGAGGGAGGAGAAAGGACGACCGCGGCGACAACGACGACGGAAACGACGACGACGACGCCAAAGAGGTCGACGACGAGGAAGGACAGGACGACGACGGCGACGAGAACGACGACGACGACGACGAGGGAGCAGGGACGGCGACGACGACGACGACGACGCAAGAGCGCGTGCGCACGTTTTGTTGACAAGCCGCGTTGCGAAACCCTGTGTTTTGTATGTGTTTTGGAAACTCGATTTTGAATTCATTCCTAAACCTATGGGTTTTGAAGAATTTCGGCATGCGCGCGCGGCGACGCGCGCGCGTGAATTTCGTCACATTTGTTGCAGACGATTCTCGCGACGGCATGCGCGCAAGGGCGTTCTAGCGACTTGGCATGCGCGTGCGGAGCCCGTTTGGTAGTATGTTTTGGAACATTTGGAGAAATCACCTTTGGTTTTGTTAAGATTTCGCAAGAGCGCGCGTACGTTTTTTGGTGATAAAAAATCGGTGTTGCGAAACCGTCTGTGTTTGCATGTGCTTTGGGAACTCGATTTTGAAATCCTTCCGACACCATGGGTTTTTGAAGGATTGTGGCATGCGCGCGCGACGACGCGCGCGTGTGCATTTCGTCTCATCTGTTGCAAAGGATTATTGGAAACTTATGCTTTGTGATAAACGAGTGCGCGCTCTTAGTATTTTTGGCAGAGGGTGGCGGGGGGGTGGGGGCGATACTCGTTTGACTGGGATAATGCGAAGTCGCAGGTCGGATGGTCATTGGGTCAGACTCCTATGACCCACGTGGAGCGAGACATGTGGTGCAACCTGTGTCGTGAACAATGGGTTATGCAATCTATATGGTGCAAGACATGTGTGTGCCATCGGCGTGGTGCAATTCATTTTGCGGAACTCGGAGTTGCCAACTCCACTGCTCGTGCAGTTCTTGCACCCTTCCACTCGCGCAGCGCGGCTTGCAAAAGCTGGAGCGGCGGCGACTGCGACGACTGCGTGGAGAGCGAGCTCGCCCATCGCCGCGTCGACGCCCTCACGCGCGCAGGCTCGCTCGCAGAGCGGCCGGCTAGTCTCTGCGCGACTGGCGCGGCCGCGGTGGCGCTGACCGCTGGGGATCCCCCGGCGCGTTTCGCAAGCCGCGCTGACGCGCCAACGCTTCAGTGCGAGTCGGTGTCTCGGGCGGGCGCGGTATCAGAATAACATCGGCAGAAGGCGAGCACGGTGAAGCCAGTAGCGATGACGGTGACGATGATAACGAGACGACGGCCAAGCCAATGACGGCGCCCGATCACGGCGACGACGATGATGGTGTCCACGTTTTGGAATTAATTCGAAATGCGCCCGCGGCGGACGGGCGCGAGTCGTCAGCATGGTACCGTTCGCCTGGGGTCGTGCTCCCCCCCCCCCCCACCCCACAGCAGGCGCTCCGCAGGGGCGTTGGATGGATTTCGAAGTGCGCACGCGAGAGACCCGCCTGGTCGCATCTGATGAAATATTGGGACTGGCCGCAGTTGGTGTCAGAAGAAATGGCACGAGCGCGAGCAGATCTTTCTGTGTTACACAAGCACGGTTTTCATTCACGAAGTCTGTTTCGGGGGCCAGAATATATAGAAACCCATACGAAACCTAAGGCTTTGGCGGGTGTTGGCATTCGCGCTCGACGCCGCGCGCGGGGGCTCTGCCCAGTGTGTTGCAAGGGGTCGTTGGCACTGTATGACTGTTGATGAACGAGTGCGCGCGCATGGGATTATTTTGACAGCGATGAGCGGGGAACCGAGAGTAGCACTCCCTGGGTTGCTAGGAGTTCATACATCCATGAGCGCTGGGGCAGACCCATGTAGAAGCTGAACTACCCAAGGTGGCCGGAGGGGGCCGATCGTATCTTCTTCTTGGAGAGGAGAACACATGTGGTGCAGCCGACGTAGTGCATCCTAAGTGGTGCACTCTACAGGGCATTTTGAATACACAGGATTTTCAAACATATAGGATTTTAATACATGCTTAATGTATGACAGAAAGTATGCATGAACTCATTTTAATACTAAACCCCTGCATTTTAAATACATGATCCGCACGCGGGGCGTGTATTAACAACGGCACTGTATGTTGTGCATTAGGGCGGCGGCGACTGGACGGGATGGCGACGGCGGCAACACAGCCGCCACAACGACCCAAGCGGGCGGCGACGAGGTGTCACTAGTAGGTGGACGCACGCATGCAAGATGCCTGAGCGCGCGGCCAGGTACTTTTTCTTCCGCGAAATCAGGAGACAGAGAACTGCTTCTCGCGTCTACGCCAAAATGGCTGGGCACGTGCGAATTGCCAAATAAACAAAATGGAGCGGACGGAGACCCACACATCAGGGCATCAGGGACATCGGGGGAAAGAAGCGGCGACGGGGTGGCGACGCCGACAACATGGCCGGCAAACCGACCCCAAGGCTCAGACGACGGGCGGTCACGAGGCCGCGACGGGGCGGCGACGGCGACATCATGGCCGCCAGGCCAACCCCACGGGCCCAGCTCCTCCGACGAGAAGTAAGAACCCCCGAGGGCAAGCACCACGGGGAATAGGTTCTGCTGGTCTCTGTCCCTGGCTCCTGGTCCGAGACGCCGTCGAATTCCGTGCGGTCCGCGAGCTCCATCTTCTGGAAGTCCTCGGTGCGGATTTTGCCCAGCGCCAGGTTTCTGCGGGCCTGCACCTCCTCGCCCGCGTCGTTGTCCACGTACACGTGGCGCCGCTGCTCGCTCATCTCCTCCGCTGGGGTGGAGGACCGCAAGCGCAGAACAGGGAGAGGAGGATGAGGAGGCGGGGGAACAGACCTGATTCATCATCAGTCGAGTGGGGGATCGATTGCATGATCGACTCATCCCAACATTGCCTTTCCGTCGGATATAAAAGAAGACGGGTAGAGCATTCTACGCATGTCTCGTACATTCGACGGAACAACAAGTTTGGGGTACATCGATTCTGCGGTCGATCCCCTACTCGAATCATGCGGGTCGGTATCACCTCCATCACCCCCTCGTGGACCTCAGCACGCACACCTTACGCACAAGCGGGCTGCTCTGCATTCCACAGCCTCTCTGCCGATCTTTACAGCGCCGCGCGCTGAGGTCCTGTATGTTCGCTATTTCGCCTAAGCCGCTTGTGTTTGTTGCAGGTTCGATCTGCCACCCTCACGCTACGACGAGCCCAGTCGATCCAAGCTTGCCGGACCGCAGGCACGGGGGGGGGAGCCGTGTGCGCTCACGTTGCCAGTGCCCCCCCCCATCCTCGCACAGGGCCGCGATGCTCGGAAACAGGGCGACCTCGGCGAAGCGCGCCAGGTTGACGAAGTCGCTCGCGAGCATGCGCGCCCTCGCGGGCCAGAGCCCGTAGTGGCGGCAGAGCTCGCCGACGGACAGCGCCACATAGGCCCCCACCAGCAGCAGCGCGAGCCCCCAGAACCTCTGAGGGGCAACGATCGGGGGGAAGAAGGCACAGGGGGGGAACATTCACCTCGAATGGGCGCTGCATCGCCGATAGATCGGCGATGGGCCCACGATGGTGCATCCGCACGCTCCTGGGCAGGCTGGGGCCACCGGGCCCACATCGGCAATCGATGGGAGACTGCGGGTCGATGCATCCCCGCTCCTGTGCCTATCCCCCTCCCCTACTAGTAGGTCGGGCATGTCCCCCTACAAGCAGACCTTGGGCGAAAAATAGATGATAGTCAAACCATGCCCAAACATGATCCAAAACAGTCGGAACATCGTCCCCAGACTATCTCTTGACTATGTTTGATTATTCTCCCTGTCGAGGGACATACATGCCCGATTTGACCCCATCGTTGCCCCCAGAACCTCAGGTTCTTCAGCACCCACACCAT